GTCGGATCAAAGAAGGAGGATCTGAATCAATCTGGCTGCTGCAATCCAAAACCAGGCAAGAACCAGACACGGCGGTAGTCGAGATCGAGTTCTCGGCGTGGGCTTTCGCACCGTCAGGAATTCAGGAGCTTCGGAGAAGAACTGAAAACAGCTCAGCGGCCAAAGTGACACGTTCCCTCGAATCGGGAGGTAGGTTGCCAAACAACGAAACTGCTCCGGTTTCTTGTAGATAGTGGGACAGAGTTTCTATATGCTTCAAGCGCATACGCCACAACAATCGACTGATCTCTTCATTGTTGCGATAGGCTTGTATCGCCCCTCCAGCTCTCAATGATGCCGGAGTGAGAGACAATTTCTTAGGAATTCGCAGGACTGCTAACAAAGCATCCCAACGACGCCGGAAAGCAGATGGTGAACCTGCAAACAAAGGGGCATCGCGTGGAAGAGGTCCGAAAACTGAATCCAAAAAACCAGACACTTCACAGTTCTGTATTTTTACATGCTGCACTCTGCCAACTCCCCGCCAACGCGACTTGGGCTTTCGGATCAGTAAGAAACAAACCGATGCGCTTTCACAAATCAAATCACGAGGAAGCAAGAGATCACTGCGAACAGCTGCGAGAGGTTCCCCAGGTCTGCAGATGCCTTCATAGGCAAGCACTAAAATCCCCGCAACTCGTCTCCAACCCCACATCAAGGCGACCACGACCATAGCTCGGTAGACTACAAATGGCAGCGGTGTCCTATGTTCACTAGGCTCCAGACGCTCCCACTTTCCGACAAGCTGCCATCCTTTCCCGAGGAAAGGCCGAAAGTCAGGATGCCATCTCTGAATGGCGGCCAAGAGGTGTCGGAACAAGTACAAACTGGAGCCATCTTCAAACAGGTGGCGCCCGAAGGCAACAACAAGTTCAACAAGGGTTTGGGGACACAGGATTAGATTCAGAAAAGCTTCTTCACTCAATTTCTTGAGGCACCACTGTCGAAAGCGTTCCCAAATCTTAAGACCAAGGAGCTCAGTGCTAGGCTCGACTAAAGTGACCTCGTCGAGCTGGGTGACAGGCCGAGGCCTGAGAGCTCGAATTCTGGGCCCTGGAAGGGAGGCGTCTCCAATCCTGCCAGACTGACATTTTGCTAGAATGCCCACATCAACCTTCTTTCGCCCGGGTAAGTTGCCCGTATCAATCAAAAGCGCTGTTGCTATCCAGAAGCACAGCGCGCGAGGATAGGTCTGGGCGGCCCGCGTCCATGCCATGCGATGAATGCGAGACCATCCGGATAGTCGTTGGTGGCTGTGGTCTCTCGAGCAAAACAAGTGTTGACCTTTCAGATGGCAGTTCGTGAGAATTCTGGTTCGCTTTCTCCAAGGTGCCCCACATCTACAGTAATCAATCCTGAAGGACTCTTGCTGATTTCTGGCATGAAAGTGTTCCCATTCGGTTTGGAGCCAAAGAAAACTTCCGTCAGGGTTTTCCACCCACCAAATAATGCCCTTGCTCAAAGCAATGGCGACCATGAGGCTTAACCACTGCGAATGATCATTCCCTTGAGCGACAGATTCAGCCATTCGCTCACTGAGACCGCTCACCCCGGCAGGTGATGCTGGTGTGCGAATTTGTGGTCTGACTGCTCTGGAAAAAGATCTGCAAAAAATGGCAGCCCCAAAACAACAAACTGCTTCGGATTCTAAAAGTTCTTGGACAAGTGCTCTGTTGGATTCTTTCCCCAAATCTTGCAGTTCGGAGTCCTCGATCTCAAAAGTAATGCACCACAAATCACCAAGTTCACAGACAGCACGAGCTACTCCTTTACGGCCAGAATACAAATCCAGATAACCAGGAAAGTCGGGTATATAGCTTGTAGGAACTTCCCAAGTTTTCGGAAACAGAAATTGCTGCCGACTGACGCGGCGCAAAGCTGTCAGCGCTCGCTCTGAAAGTTGGCGAACTCCACGCGCGCCAGCATCTCTGGGATTTACCTGGGCCGGCAATTTCCGTTCTGGAGAAGTAGGTGAAAGCAGTGTTTTCTGGACCCGGCGCTTGGCTTCTACTTTGTTCTTCATGAAGAAGGCTTTTGACTTACCCCGATGGCCCCAGATAGGTTCAGACTGTGGAGCTCGAAGTTCTTCGAGAGGAGGTAGCCCAGATAGTTGTAACGGTAGGCACGTGCTCTGATAACCATGTATCAAACAAAACTAGCCGTTGCCTTTCACCGTCCGGAAATTCTTCAGGGAGCCACTGAAGGGGTTCTTTACAAGGCGCTCGAACTTCACGGTGTCTTGTGGGGTCATCTGCAACATTGTAGGCGCTAGGAACAAAGGCCCCGTTTGAAATAACTCCGCACCCTAAGTGAATAGGAAGAGAATCTTGAAGAATCTGGTTCAACCCGATCGACGACGACCGTCCTTTGATCCATGCTCCTAGGGCTACTTGACTGTCAGCAACATACATCGTCCGATTTGGAAATTGAAAACCAGCAGCGTGTTGCTCAGACTTTGCTAAAGCTTGCAACTCCCCTATGTTTATATGCTGACCAACCTTTGTCTTCTTTCTGAAGTCTTCGTCGAATGGTAATGCGGACAGCAGCTCCAAAAAAGAGTGGATGGCCAGGCAGGGTGCTGCCGTCTGGAAGTTCTTCATCAGCTCCCAAACATCCTTGGACTCGTTTCAAAGCTTTCAACGGACTCAGTAAACGAACCCAGGAAGACTTCCGAAGACGATGCCTGTGAACTTCTCCCCGGAGCCAACTAGGTAAGACTGCAGAACACACCCCTAAACCCCAGGAAGAAGCGTCGGAGGCATAGATTCTGTTGTTATTCCGCGCTTTCAGAAAGGTACAAGCCAGCGGGCTGAGAGTCACAAAAAGTAACAACTCACTCTTTAAGTCCTCTGAAAGTTTTAAGACTTGTCGCCGGTTCTCAGCGTGTTGCACAGCGCTGTAACAGAGGTTTACTAAGGAAAGCATCCGTCGCTTGAACAAAAATATCGAAGTCCAAGCGCCCAACAAAACCTCCAGCAGAGAAACCGTAGTGACACCTAGTTTCAGGATTCCTAGAGTGGCGAACAGGATGGGCACCAATCTCTTCAAGTTTGCACGAACATACCCTCTCTGTCCATCAAACAAAGCTCCCCAGAACTCCGCAACAGGCTCTGCTCGAAAAGTCTTTCCTTCATGAGGGTGAAGCCCCAGAGCTTTGTAAGTCTCTAAAGCGTGGTCCAACAAACAGTTTGAACGAAGCTCATCGTGAAGAATATGCAAATCTTGTTGAAGCACTTGCTCAAACAGTATCAAATCATCTATGACTACTCCAAGAAGACTAGGATTCCGTGGCAAGGCTGAGTTCATAAACATCAGATTTGCTTCTTCTAAAAGTCCATGCTGAATCAGTATACCGATGTGGGCCGTTTGGGCTAGTTCTACTGCGCAACTGTCTCCCATGGCCAGTGTCTGGAGGCACAAGTACAAAGGCTGAGACTCATTCTCGAGCTCAGGTGAATAGCATCTGAACCTCCGAATTTGCCACGGGCGAGCTGTGATCAAGAGGCTATTTCGAATGGTCCGTTCTCTGGTAACTGAAAAAGAATAGTAGAATTCACGCAAATCAGTTCCCCAAGTCAAACAGACCGCTTCTTCAGGCAGTTGCATATCCAACAGGCAAGAAGCTGCGGCCATCGACCCAATCCATCTTCGTGGAGGTTGCTCCAAACAGTTAAACGGTCTAGAATCAAAAATGAGACGATCCCGTTCTGCATCTTTTGGAACACAAAATAGACCCGCTTGGAATCCAGGCAAGACTTCTGAAGCTCGTACCACACCCAGACGTCCTGAAGCATCTAGTTTCTCCAGCAATCGCCACTTTTCGCGTTCCAAAGCGTGCACCTTCACCTGAGGAATTGGGCAAGGACATTCTAGGGGATGAAGAGCACATGACAAAGGTCTCTCAAATATTGCCTGTCCATGAGAATCCAAAAACGGGCTCGGATTGAAGTTTGGCTCTCCTCGAAATTCTAACCTATCAGCTTCGATTTGTTTGGCAACGACGACATCAACCCCGGGCAGTTCACCACAGAATTCACCAGGCGAGACTTTTTGCAAACCAGGGGAGAGTCGGCTTCTTGATGTCTTTACGCGAGGTTGGCCACTGCTATCAGTGAAAAGTTCATCGAAAACAGCAAAAGCTTGAGACTCGAAAGCTCCAAGACGGTAGACTGCCGCTTCGATGTCCTCCACCTTAGCTGCCGTCCGTCCCATAGCCTCGGAGGTAATGGGGGGACAATCCATCCACGCCTTCAAGCAGCCTTCGATCTGATGAACGATCTGCCATTGCTTCTTACCCAACTTTTCAAAGAGCACGATCTCAGGAGGACATGTCTCAGGCCTCCGGAGATGAATCCAGTTCAACGAGGCTACGCAAAGGTTGACACCTCGCTGGAAGGCTCGGTTTTCGTTGAGCGCTGACTTTAAAAAAGCGCCCGGGTAAGGCAGCGGCATAGGCCACATCAAGGCGGTACTCCTCAACTTCGAGGAAGTGGCAGGCTTGCGATGGAACGATCTGAGGAACCCAGCGAAATGTCCACCAAGGTTCCGGATGAAACGAAAAGATGAATTCAACCACTGCTGAGGGCAGACTGTACGGGCATTTGCACCGGGAACTTTTCGGCGGACTTTCTCGGCCGAAGGTGCGTCATCATGCAATGACTCGGGAGTCGCAGTTTGTTCAAAGGACTCACCAAGAACTTGAGGCTTCTTCTCTTTCACACAGGGCTCTGGCCAGGTTCTTCGCCCTGGTTCTGAGCACTGCTTCCTCTCTGACGGGCCCTGTACTTGCCCTTCCCCTTTCCTTTCTCTTCTTCCTGGTTTTGCTGCGCCAGGCCAGGAGGCGATGGCAACTTGGCTTTCTTTCCTAGCTTGGCTTTCTTTTCTGCAAAGTCGTCGACTTCTTTCACTTTGTGCATCATGGCTTCCATCCATGACGAAGGGAGGAGTCGCGAATGTTGGCATTCGAACGCTTCTGGAGGCACGTGTTTGCCGAAATTGCTCAGAGGAGGGGATTCCTCGAGAAGTATCTCTGACCCTAGAATCCAGGAACCTCGATCGCAGGCCACCTGATCTATCGCACTGATCAAGAGAGCAAGTTTGGCCTTTGCTTCTTCCACGCGATGCGCTCTCAGACTGTCGAGAGCTCCGCACACAGCCCAGAGCATTCGAACAGTGCCTGGGATGTTGGGCACTCGGCTCCGATGCTCGCACCACCCGCGGAAAGTCGTCTGATGAGCACTGAGACCTGGTGACAACTCGACTAAGCCACAATCTCGAAGCATGTTTTGCTCGACCACTGCAAAGATCTCCTCTGGGCAGTCTTTCATCGCTCGCCGTAATGTGGCGAGCACGGCTGAATGTCTTCGATTCCCAGTGCACGAGGAAGAGGAACTCACCTCGGAGTGGCCTACAAAATCGTCCAATGTGTCTTCCAGAGAACGACCTTTCACTTTCTTGGCTGAAGCGAGGGTCTCCACAATGCTTGTGAGCTTCACTAGAGCAGACTGCATCGGATCCTCTGGCTCGTGCAGGGGAAGCTGACTTTCTGGTTCGTTCACCTCGTCGAGGGGTTCGCCGAGCACATCTACCTTGGCTTTCGCAGTCCGAGGAGCATCCGGAAGATGAGGCCGATGACCAAGCAGCATCTGTCCAAGGGCTTCCAAATGTTGCCGCTCTACCCCGGCCTTCAAAGCAGCCTGGGCAGTGTGAGGATCGACACCTGCTAATCCAGATTCGACGTGGGCTTTTTTCTGGAGCCAGATTGGAGCTCTTTGCTGTGTTTCTGGGCGCCGCAGCAGGCTGCGTAGTCTCGACAACAGGGCCCTTCTGGCTCCGCAAGCTCTGGAGGGAGGTGTTGATGTTGAGAATGGCTTCTTCTAACCGAGCGAGCCGATTTCGAGTGTCTTGTTCCACCATTTCGCTCTCGGCGGTCAAGAACGAGTAGCGGTCGTCGGCTAGCTGAGAGAGGGCAAGAGCATAAGGCACAAAACCCAGGGTACCATCTTCTGTGGGGAAGGCTGAGCTCACAGCATCCTGACTCAGCTCGCCAAACACAAGGTTGGATTCCAGCTCTGGTGCCAAAAGTCCCAACCATACTTTGATGAAGATATCGTCAGCTTGGTGGTCTCGCTCGCTCTCAACAACAGCCGAAACTGAAATGGAATTCACCTTGCTGAGGGCACCAGCTGGGAGAAGACGATTCTTCACGGTTCGATGCCAAAACTTGCCTGGAACAGCGACTAGTATCCGAGAATGCACAGCTGCAATGGCAATAACAGGAACAATCAAAGGGCTCCCGTCAGCAGCCTGGAGATTCAAATGACCAATCTGGTACTCAAGCTCCGCACTGCCGTCGTCCAGAACAAGGAAAAAATCTTGAGCCGTAGGAGTGCGATCCTGAGGGGGGGCGTGAAAGGCTCCCCGTCTAGCTCATCATCCATGTTCGGACTGGAGGCTGAGCACACGTAGCCTCAGGAAGAGCCTGCTTTAAACTAGAAACTTGTAGACAGATTCGGACAAAGGACACTAGGCTGACCTCGAGCACGAGAATTAGATGAATTATAGTGCACACTTGAGAACTGAAGACCTCAGCGCCCCCTGGGAGCCGGAGCTTTCAACCCCTGCAGTCCTTAGTACTAGGCCTTAGAACGACAGACGGTCTGATCTTCTACTTGGCTCGAATCGCCTCGGAAGGCGATGCACTACGAAGTGCGGTAAAGTGGAGGAGCAACAGGTCGATGATGCAAGGCTACCAACTGTCTTCTAATCACTGACACCCACAAGTGCCTGAGGACTAAGAGCAGTTCAAGGATAGGGCCTAAGGCTACACCGATAAGGAGGCCGATCACTAAGGATTTCAGGTCCAAGTCAAATGCGAAGTCTGGAAAGAATGCAGGACACTGACACTCAAAAACCTCAGGAACCTTAGTGATGGGATCAAACGTGTCTGCTAGGATCCTCCAAGCGAGCGACGACAGGGTTCCCGACGCAGCTCCTATAGCTACGGGGCGGTGGGCCATGCACCCGCTTGATCCCAAGAAGCTCGCGGCAGGAATGTGCATGCGAGTCATCACTGACCTGCACAATAAGGTGTCACACCAAAATATGCCAACACGAGTTCAGAATACGTGGTTCGACGTTTGGCGTCCAATTCCAATGTACAGGAAGAGGGATTCTAATCAAATCTGTACCCATGAAACATGAAGGGTTATGAAGATTCTGTGGGATTTGGAAGACGGTTTAACGCTTTGGTGGGTTGGTGAAGTCGACTTGACAAAAGGACCACGTAAAAAACAGGGCGGAGCATGTTCGCTGAAGCCGCCACCCTATGTGCACTCCCGACCTCTTGCTCCCTGAAACGACGATTCGGCCATTCATGCACTGTGCCATACCGCACCTCCAGGAGACTCACCCGCTTCGAGCCCGTCAAAGAAGCCACCAGCACTGCTGCACCACCGGCCTGTTCCTCCTCCGCAATTTGTGCGTCTTTCTAGGCTTTGGCAGCACTGATTGGAGGAGATCACCCAAAAGATCAGTCGAGTTCGGAAGGTCTTTTTTCTTTCGTTCTTCAGTTCAGATTGAAACTGAGGAGTTCCAAGGCTCCGCCCAATATAGGGAGACTAACTGGATCTCTCACATCTGATTAAAACCATGAAAATACAATACATAATATATACCGTATATTGTATAGAAGTGACAGGCTGGGTACTTCCCTCATCCCATGCGATTTCACCAACATGATGTCCAAAGGATTCCGATCTGAAGGTCTCCTCACGACTCAGGTCCATGGCGGGCTTTCGACCTAACCTGCCGTGATGGTTGGCAAGACGCTCGCTGCCCGTCGTGGGTTGGGGGAGATGGTTGGTGTGGTCAACAGCCCAAAAAGTGTCTTTTGGTGCCACCTCCAGGAGTGGCGAGTTGAACTCATCGACTCAACTGATTCGGCATCACCGCGGCATCACCCATTCAAGATCCCTCCAAGCGCGTTGGGCGTTGGTTGACATGTTCTTTGGGCGCTCTGATCAACATCCGGTTCAGCCGACTTACCCCCCTGATCCACTTCTGAGAACCCGAAAAGATTCCAAAGACCTGTCAGCAACAGATCTCCTCAGCGCACTCGACCACCCACGCAACCAAAAACATAACAACAGGTGGTCGCGCGAACTCTTCAGCCATGTCGCAAGCCAGCCGTGCAGGCCACAACCAGGTCCCGCATGGGAATCCCTGCATCTGCCAAAGCTAAGGTGGCCTCATGGAGACAGGAAGAAGAGTCACTTACAGGCAATGGTTTATTGTTGGTGATTTCAGCCACCTCTCACGCCTCTCAGTCTCACCTTCCCTCACCACTTTTCAATGGGTCATTCTCGGAGCACCAAAGAAATATCTTCAATAGGTTTGGCCAACAAGCTTTAACCTTGCAAAAACGCAATGGTACAGTAGTACAAGTTCACACACAGGCACAGGCACACGCACACTCACACGCACCCCGACGACGACCGCATGCCCTTCTGTTTCAAACCAATGTCCCACATTCGATCGGCTCCGGGACTCCCAGCCGCGTTGATGGCAGCGGCCACGGGGCTTCCTTCAGCCTGACCCAGTTGTTCGAACGTGGGAAAGGGGTGAAAATTGGTCCAGGTTCAAGACTATGACATTACAAAAACGAACACCTTGGTAGGAACTGTTGCAGTTCCGTTTTGTGGCATTCACAGTTGATCAGTCGGAGCTATCTCTTTTCATGGGTGTGTTGGGTCGTGGAGAATTCTCCGACCATGTACTCGCCAAGACATACATGGTCGGAACGACTGTGGTGAGTCCATCGACTCTCTCCCCAGTTGCTACTTGTCCATGCATGGCACAGTCCAGGGGGTTCTGTGCATATCAGAACAGCTTCTTGTGCAGCAGACAGTAGAGCCAGCCAACACAGCTAGACATTGCTATACACAGCTACTTTGAAGGCCGAATTCTTGTGCTTGGCCTTTACCCTCAAGAACCACTCTTGATTGCCCGACCTCAAGCAGCAAACCACCACTAGGTACTACTGGGAAGATGAAAAAGGACTAACATGCAGCCGAGCCCCATCCCGAGACCATAAAAACTCCGAATCTCTGAATCTCCGGCCTGAAGGACCTGCACAAAGAGACGAATCTGCGAGCGTGGGTACCTTGGTGCCGAATCGAGCGGGCGCCACGGAGCGAAGGGAAGTCTGAAAGACTGACTCCGAATGACCCAATGACCTGAATACGGCCAGTTGATTTTTTTCATTTTTCTGTGCAGTGGATCCTGCAAATGAAAAGCTTTGAGATCGCCCTGCCTGCCCCATCAGTCTCAGCTGGGTTCCCATTCCTGATATTTCGGAAAAATCGCGTTCAACTGGCGTTCAACAGTTTATCGCTCCTCACAAAGAAACTACCGGTGAGCAACCATTCCATGATGACTCTCCAAACCATGGTCATGGTGCCAGAAACATCCCCATAAATACCATCAACCCAAGAAGCCATTCCACCTTGGTTCCCAACCAACCGGTCCAAAAAACCGGAGGGGGGGATCACCCCTCTCACCTCTCACCTTGCTTCGAAAGCCGAGCGGCTGCTCAAGCAGGATCGCACTCTCAAAGGTTTGTTGCAGCCACATGGACCGCTCTTGAGACCTGGGAGACCCAGGTCATCGAAAAAGACACGCCGGAAAAGTTCGGGGGGATCAAACCCTTTTTTTCCATGGAAAGCTAGCATGTAGATATCACACCCATGTTCCAGGGAGATCCAGGAATGTCTTAGAGAGGGTATGTGGCCTGTTGCTGAGTCACCTCGCAGCTTTGGGGTTCCTTGGGATCCTTGAGGGTTCGCGCCCCGAGGTCCTTTAGACCTACCGAAGCGACCAAACCCATGTTACAAGATGAACATGGCCCATGTTCATCTTCTCAAAACCCATGGACCTCTGAGCATCTAGTCATCTACTAGTCCATCTACTAATCATCTAGTCATTTGTGGTCCTAGCAACACCGTTTGCTCGTCTAGTCATTTGGACTCCCTTCCGCCAGGAATGGCCCCCGAATGCCCTTATGGACCTCAAATGGACGAATCCTCCACTTCACGGTGGGAGATTTGAATGATCGTTAAAGGTCGAGGACGAGGGGACGAGGGACAAGGATGCGGATGGAAGGGCCTAGCCCGGACGAGGATGCATCGCTCCTCGTTCCATCAGAGGAGGGAGGCAAGGGCTATACTGAGGCTACCGTTACGACGGTTATAGGTCTTTTGACCTGGATCCATGTTTCAGGAGCTCAAGTGTGCTTCCAAGTGAAGCTGCACAATGGTCTTCTGGGTAAGACAGGCAAGATAGCGTTCTGGAATTGAAAGTCCTCTCTCACATGGCTCAGCTGGGTTCTCTCACACAGCGCAGGCCACAGTCAGCTGGTGCAGCTGGTGCAAAAGGAAGGATGCATTAGGACTAAATAGGATGAGGATGTACCAGGGAAAAGGATGGATCAACCGATCAACCCGCAGACACACTGAATCACCTGGCGGTCAAGCAAGGACAACTCCAATAGCCTGAAGCTATCTTTTGGGACTTCCCGCTTAGTCGGGCGCAGTCGGGACATCCTCCACGTCTCCTCCCTGCCACCTGGCGGCTGTCTGTCTCCCTTCCGCCCGAAGTTCCTGGCCACCGTGGCAAAGGTGGCCGTGGACCTCAGTTTGGCAGACCCGAAACCAGACAAAGGAGGATCAGCATGCAGCTTTCAGGGCAAGTCCGAAGCGAGAATTCTTCGAACCCAGTCCGAAACGTGAATCTCTACCTGAACGCAGTCGTCGCATGCGTGGTGTGTGCTCCGGTTCTCCAAGCAATGGTTCGCCAACTCGCTAGAAATACAACTCGCTAGGTGGCAAGGAACAACCCTAGCTGCCCTACCTTGTTTCCCATTCCATCCCATGCCATTCCCACTTCACATGGAAGTTTGGAGTTGTATGAATTTGGAGGTCGAGAGAAGAAGCTTCTCAGCTGACAGCAAATCAACATTCAAACTCTCCAGAGCAGCTTCGCCACAAGCATGAAATGGAAAGTGGACCCTGGACGCCTGTCATTTCAAGATATTTCAAGGGCTCCCACAGCCATGTTTCTCCATGGAAATAGCTGGGCCCATATCTTGGACCCATCCCTGGATTTGGTATGAACCCACCTGCCAATTCGTTGCTTGTCTCCAAATCATTCCTCATGCCCCCATCATGCTGCCCAGGCGCAACGTGCAGGATAGGGTTGCGCGGTCGTGCAGGCTTTGCGACCGCTGCTTGGCCTGGACCAGGCTCGCTAGGACGTGCTGGAAACGAGCAGAAGAAGTTCCAAACGTTATAGTTATAGCATAAATTAGCCCAGCTGGAGACCCCAATAGCAAGATACAAACCGGGACAAAAAGAAAAATCTGGAAACAGCTGCTGTTTTCAACAAATCGACCATCTCTTCCTTGGACACCATCATCACATAACCGGGACACCATCACAAAATGACCAGGGCACCATCAAAACAAAACCGAGACACCGTCACAACATGATTGGGACACCATCACAACATAACCGGGACACCATCACAAGGTGACCGGGACACCAGCATGACATGACGGGGACACCATCACAACATGACCGGGACACCATCAAAACATTACCGGGACACCATCACAACATGACCGGGACACCATCAAAACATGACC